TTGGGAGGAGGTAGTTATGTGTTCATATACTTTAACACATTGCTTGTATCTTGATGGTTTGTGTATATGTGTTATACATGTTGATTATGCCCTGTTGTGTTGGATTGGTGGTGTTATACCTTGCGCTAAGAATCAGGGGTACCGTGACCTTCCAGCTAGCGTCTGCAGAACTGACTGCGCTGAGAATATAAGGCACCATACCCTTCCAGCTAGTGCCTGGTAAACCGGCATGTTGTTGTAAGAGGTGTATCTTTGGCTTACTACGCACATAGCTAGTAGAACAAAGTTTTGTTGTTGATATTTCAGTGTGTCTGGGAATATCATGGACTGTGTCAGTTACAGTTTTGGAGGGCCAAGTTGCCTCATTGTTTAATTTTATGCATGTTGGTGAGTTGTTATCTCTCTTTTTATAACGGTGCATGTATAGATTTGATTGTATCGGGAAGAAGCCAAAATGTCATCTTTGTCTTTTGGAAAGTGTGAAGGAGAACGATTTTTTTTTTTTAAAGAATTATAAATTTTGAAAAGGCATATCTGTGTATGTTTGGAGAATGGAAGAGAGTAGTGGGCTTAGTGAAATTATTTCCTAAGGTATTGTTAATGTTATGATAGATTGGGAACGGGGATTAATGAAAAGAAAAGGAAAGATGAATCGCCTATGGCGTTGATTGAAATGGTTGTTTTCAAGAAAAGTTCATACTTATGTATATTTGTATAAACTGTCACATTACTATTCTAGTCTGAGATTGGGTATTCATGATCATAGCTATCTGTATGTTGAGATCCCTACTGGACTATATGTTCATCCCACGTTGTTGAATCTTTTTTAGGTGTAGAGCTGAATGTGCTGCAAGATTTGGACCTTCTGATTTGTTGGCCACGGGGCCTCTCTTATATAGGTGGAATGCCATATGTGTAAAAGGGTTGCACCCTTCTTCTTGATTTGTTGTTAATGATGTAAGCCCAAGGGCAATTTATTTATTATTCTCATGTTGTATTTACTTGCATACGAATGAGAGCAATGTCATTCACTTCTACGAGTTGAATATACGAGTTTATTTCCGCATGTTATCTCTGAAATGGAATTAAGTAAATGAAATTGGTAATACTTTGAGTAATAAAAAGTCGGGGTGTGACAACTTGGTATCAGAGCGAGCCGGGTTTGAATACTTTGGGCTCGTGAGAAGTTGTTTTTACCACCGTGGGTTTACTACGTATAGTGAGGACGTTGCATATAGATATCATGAAAATTAGGACTTATGTGTTGCATTTATGTGAGCATGTGATTCAGTCTCTCGGATAGTATTCATAGCCGGTGAACTTCCTTTGAGGTCCTTTTGGAAACACGCCTGATCAACGTGGTTTCTGATAGGAATTCCTTGAGAGTTCCGGGATGAGTGGCTATCCTTGTGGACTTGATTCGATTATGTGTTTACATGTTTAGATGTTTATATGCAATAGGGATGTATATTTTGTGACTAAGTGAGTCTTGTGACTTAATAGTAGTGGTGTGTGCCTCGGAGGAGGTTGTTGTGTTGTGCACTAAGCGTGGTGTTTGCTTTTGTGCTTTATAGGATGTCTACACGAGGAGGTAGAGGACGGTTGAGTAGTAGGAGTGTCGGTAGGGGCACAGCAGCTCCTTTAGCACCCGCCGTTGCAGCATCGACTGTCGGCGAGCACGTCGCACGTGAGATTGCGAGAGCAGTACAAGACGCCCTAGCTCGCACTGAGGGCGGCAGCGGACATGCTCTCAAGCTTACTAAAGAGTTTTTCCGCTCCGGCCCACCAGAGTTTGTGGGGGAGGCTAAACCGTTGGAGGCTGAGAGTTGGTTGGAGCAGATTACCAAGACTCTTGATATGCTCAGAGTCGAGGAGGAGGAGTTGAGGGTTTCTTTGGCGACTTTTCAATTGAAGGGCGATGCGAGTTATTGGTGGAAATATGCTAAGAATACCGTAGGTAGCACGTGGGTTGCTTTTACCGAGGCCTTTGGGGCCAAGTATTTCCCTCCTTCTACTCGGGAAAGGTTGAGGGATAAGTTTTTGGAGTTGCGTCAGGATGATACTCCTGTGGCATAGTTCGAGATGCGATTTACTAGTTTGTCGAGGTTTGCTCCAGAGTTGGTGGCAACAGAGGAGCGTCGTTGTTATGAGTTCGAAAGGCGGTTGTGTTTCGATATTCGGGAGAAGGTAGCTGGATCCTTTTGGAAGGATTATTATAATTTAGTCGAGGCAGCGGCCCATGTGGAGGCCATGGTTGTGAGTGATGGTCGGGATAGGGAAGAGACCATCTTGGTAAGTCCTTCAGTTCCTAAGCGCTCTAGGCTCAGTAAGGGGTGGAGGCGGAAACATGCTCAGTCAGGGGCAAATTCCTTTCCTTCGCCAAGGGTTTCGGACTCATCTGTTAAGGGTTCCGAGGAGGTGCAGGTTTCAGACCAGTCTCGGAGTAGGGGTTCTGGTGGTTGTTTTGTTTGTGGTCAGCTGGGCCATGGTAGACGTTTTTGTCCTTTGCGTGTAAATTCTTCAGGTGTTTCAAAACCCAGTCAGACTCAGTTGTACCCATCCATTCAAGGGCGTTATCTGTACCAGAAACAGGCAGGCCAGGCTTCGAGAGCCTTGCGAGGGGCGACTTATTAGTTAGCCCTATGGTATTACCCTGGAGGGGATTTTTGTGTTATTGACCGGTGATGTATTATATGAATCATTTTGTTGTTGACTGGTGTACTGTTGGATGCTAAGGCACCATGTTTATGTATCGCTTATGTATGCATATTGTTGTTTGTTTAACCCTCATGTATTGGGAAGTATGTATGGAATTTCGAAACCCCTATAATATTTATTGAGAAGTTGTTAATGGGATCAATGATCCTGATGTTATTGCTTGCTTGGTACCTGTATGTTGATTAGTGTTCTGGGCTTTGCTAATTAAGGAGTCCGTGGTGACCCCATCGGTTGTATAGGGGTAGTGTTCGTATTGCGATTGGCTATCAGTTGTTGGGTATGGTCTGTGAGTGGACTCTGGCAGCATTCTTAAGAGGAAGAACAGGTTGTGTTCTAGGGTGACGAGATTAGCGTCGGTCAAATTGTCCTTCGTGATTGTGTTGTTGTAATTGAGGCTTACCATGTCGGTCTTCGGTTGAGGAGATGAGCAGGCTTGCTATGTAGCCATGAGAGAGGGGAGATAGTAATTCCCTTAGACACAGTGTTGATGTGGTTTGATTTTAGGAGATCCGTTGAGATTCCAAAATTTGGGGGTTTGTGTGGGGAACTTTGTGTTTGGGGTTAGTGGCACTTCAGTGTGTGGTTTACTGAGAGTGGTGGTTTGTTGAGTTGATTAGTCAGCTTTTGGTATGGGGTTTTGGGTTGACATCTGTCACCTTGAGGTTAGTCTCATTCGTTGTAGACTTGTATGTTGATTAGGGAAAACTGAAACTAATCGAACATGTTATGTTAATGCATCTGACGGTTGGAATAATACATCAAGTTTTGTATTGATTGATTGAACTTGTATATGATAATTGTTTATATACATTGTATTGTGTGGGAGGAGATGGGGGATGTACTCCACGGTTTATTGGAAGATGGGGGATGGACCTCTAAACCGGATTTGTTTGATTTGATATAGCACTAAAATGTATTTCGTTATCAATTGTGAAGTATATAAGTATTTCTATGTTATATTGATACAGCACCAAAATGTGTATCATTTGTGTATTATGGAGGTATTGTTGATGTGAGATGTGGTCTCCTTTAATTGTGGCCAGGTTCTGAGCCGTGTTTATGATTTTAAATTGATTAAGTGAAGGAAGGTGGAACGAAATTGCAAATCATGAATTTCTTATGCCTTGTGTGTTGATAGCACAATTGTTATTTCTATTAACTATCATTATAGAAAGGTTGTGTTCCGTGTTGGTTATGGCATCACTGTGTGAGTGATGGTTGTTGATGGTATTATTTTGGAAAGAAATGGAAAACAAAATTTTTCTGGTGGTTGGGCCACCTAAAGGCGCTGTTGAGAAATTGACTTAATTCAGGGGTTTTGAGGAATTCCAAATGAATCTTTTTGGCAAATAAACTGTGGATGATTATGTGTTTTGGATAACACCCTATTTGTGAAAAATGTTTACAAAACTTTTGAGTGTGCGTTGAAAATGCAAGGTTTATTTTGAAATGTCTCATGAGCAAGAAAATGTTTTCCTTATCTTAATGTAAAATTTTTGCCTTGATTATCCTTTTATTGGAAATCATGGTTGTTGAGTAGTGACTTAGCTTGAAGCGCTAGTCTGATGTTGGTAAACTGTTTCTGAAGGGTTGGTTTTGTTGTAGCTTTTGTGCCTACAGTGTGGTCATTTGGAACGTGTTCCCTTGGTTAGTCTCTTCCTCGGTATGAGTGAATCGAAGGTTTGTAGGGAGAATAGCTCCTCTCCTAGTACTCGGGTGTTGGTGTTATGCGATCAGTGGGCCATATGTTTTGGCATATCCTTAATTTCGGGGACGAAATTCTTTAAGGGGGGGAGGTTATAACGATCCCGGTTATGCTTTTCAATTCTGTTGTTTTTCGGACGCGGTTCCGTGGAGTTGGTAGTTGTACCTATCGTGTTGTCAACCTTTAAACTCTTTTGTTTGAGTTTTAGAATGTGTTGGGCTTGGATGTTACAGGTTGGTAGAGCTTTAGCTCCCATTGTTGTTGTCCAGTTTTTGAATGGTCTGCTCGAGCGGGTCTTCTTGCGCTCGAGCAGGGTTTTCACAGTTTCAGTATTTCGTGCCTCTGCAAAACTTCTGCAAATGTGTTTTCTACGCTCGAGCCTGTTTCTTGTGCTCGAGCAGGTCGCGCTCGAGCGGGCTTGTTAGCGCTCGAGGGGGTAGTACTTTCTGGTGTAAGTTCTGGGAGAGAGAAATCTACGCTCGAGCGGACTAGTTTTCGCACTCGAGCGGATGTACTTTATTCTTGTGTCTTGGCGCTCGAGCGGGCCTTCTTGCGCTCGAGCGTACCTAGTTTTTGTCCTTGACACTCGAGCGTTGTGTTCTACGCTCGAGCGGGAGAGTCGTATATCAGTTGGCAGCTAGGCTATTTTAAATCACTTTTTACATCCACACTCTCTCTCTTACTTTTCTAAAACTCCATTGGAGAGCTTCAGTATTTCGTGCCTCTGCAAAACTTCTGCAAATGTGTTTTCTACGCTCGAGCCTGTTTCTCGCGCTCGAACGGGTCGCGCTCGAGCGGGTAGTACTTTCTGGTGTAAGTTCTAGGAGGGAGAAATCTACGCTCGAGCGGACTGGTTTTCGCGCTCGAGCAGATGTACTTTATTCTTGTGTCTTGGCGCTCGAGTGGGCCTTCTTCCGCTCGAGCGTACCTAGTTTTTGTCCTTGACGCTCGAGCGTTGTGTTGTACGCTCGAGCGGGAGAGTCGTATATCAATTGGCAGCAAGGCTATTTTAAATCACTTTTTACATTTCCTTTCTCTCTCTTACTTTCTCAAAATTGATTTTTGAGAGCTCCTCACTCTAAAACGTAACTTCTCTCTAGGGTTTGATCTAGTAGGAGTGTTTTCCTCACCTTTGGCCTTTACAAAAAATGTGTTGATCATTGAGGGCTACATTTTGATCCGAGAAATTTGGTGTTTGGAACACTTCCGAGTTTAGCTCTTCTTCTCCTTGGGTTCTACATTTGAGGTAGGGATTTCCTTGTTCTTTTTCAATACTTCGTCTATAGATAGACATGTGGTAATTTATGTATTGCATGAAAATCATATCCATGTTGGATTTGTTTGAAATCATGAGAAGGAACCTAGGGTTGGGTGTTTGAAAAATGGTTATGTTATCATTGATGGTTGTTTTGGGCTAATTGGAGTGTAAATTAGCATGTTGTAGTTGATAGAAGAAAAAGCCCTAAATCATATTTTGATTGATAAATTAAAATGGAGGATAGTGAACCTATGTTGTAAATCTCTATTGTTGATGTGAGTTGGGTGAAAGTGTTAATGCCTAAGGGGTTAACTTTGGCTTTGGAATGGTTTTGAAATTAATATAGTGGACTAATGTGAGTTATGGCTTTCTTATTAATGGAATTGGTTTTTGTAAAACAAAAGGAATGGATTTAGTTTTGTGACAACAAAAAGGACGGAGTTGGTTCTGTGAAAACAAAAGGGAAGTGGAACTTGCTTTGCGAAATGGGAAAAGTATTTTTGAAGTACGTATGAAAATTGGACTGTTGTTTCTTGAGTGTTGAACACACACATGTGTGGGATTGTATCTTTAACTACCATGTTAATGTTGTTGTTGGGTTTGTGGTCTCATAGTAATTGAGTCTTTAATAGATATACTAAATATTTGCATCTAGAGGTTTTGTCCTTGGTCATTGGTGGAAGATGACACGGTTGTGTTGAATTGTAGTGTATGCATTATACCATTATTGATTGAACATCGTATGTGATGAAGTGTTGAGATACATTATATATGTATGCTTGCTCGGGAGGAGGTAGTTATGTGTTCATATACTTTAACACATTGCTTGTATCTTGATGGTTTGTGCATATGTGTTATACATGTTGATTATGCCCTGTTGTGTTGGATTGGTGGTGTTATACCTTGCGCTAAGAATCAGGGGTACCGTGACCTTCCAGCTAGCGCCTGGAGAACTGACTGCGCTGAGAATATAAGGCATCATACCCTTCCAGCTAGCACCTGGTAAACTGGCATGTTGTTGTGAGAGGTGTATCTTTGGCTTACTACGCACATAGCTAGTAGAGCAAAGTTTTGTTGTTGATATTTCAGTGTATCTGGGAATATCATGGACTGTGTCAGTTACAGTTTTGGAGGGCCGAGTTGCCTCA